TACGTGATTGTGCTACTTATGCATCACAAATTCAAGCATTAATGCCACAAAAAAAATTTGATACCATGGCGTTTATATTAAAGAAATTTTTCATTTTTATGCAAATGTCGGTATGTTAAATTTTAAGTTGTTTTTGTTTTCTAACAAAAAAAAACTATTCGAATTTTTCTTTTATCTCTAGCATGCGTTTACACCATCTGGTGTGAAAATTCTCGACGAAATTACATCTTTGGTCTTATCATTATGTGGATAATATGCAGATAAATTTTTTTTGTCTTCTTCTGATGTTCTGTTTGTATATATACATAGAGAGAGAGAGATTATACTTTCAAGTAGTGAGCAGAACTCTATCTCTATTTGTATGTAATTCTATCCTTTCTTTTTCTATACTCTACACAAATATTAATATTCTTGATGATTGTATTTTATATTCTATATCTATACATGTATTGATGGTATTTCTAATGAATGAAAATGAAAGATTGATATATAAAGAAAAAACGAATTTATTATTTTGATATGATGTTTGATGTAGAAGAAAATAAAGATGATTCCATTTGATCCCATAAAGCGAGTTTTGATGCTTTGATAGATTTTGTTTTACTTGGTGTTAATGAGTGAGTATCGGTGAATATTCTAAATACAAGATAATTTTTTTAAATTAAAGTTTAATTAGAATATTTCAAGAATAAGTAGGTAGTATTGATTTAACGTAGTAAAAAAAACTTCACCTATCTGATTCTTGTGTAGCAGTTTCAACTGTAAAATGTGATTCAGAAGAATCATTTGATTGTAAATCTTCTACATGTATTTGATCCATTTTCGAATGGGATAATGATTGTTTTGTATTTGATTTTAAATCTATTGATGATTCTTTCTTTTTATGATGAATATAGATAATAAATATAAGTATAGATATTATCGTAAGAATTCCTAGAAGTCCAAGAATAAGAAATAATGATCCGTTCTGTTTTATTTCGGAGTGAACATTTGTTAAATTCGTTTCTACTGTTGTAGTAGTAGAAGAAGTAGCAAAAACTAGATAACAAAAATTAGAATTAAGTATAGTAATATTAGAATTATTCACTAGCTGTTGATAATGGCCAAAGTATTGTTAATGGTGGTGCTAGGTTATTAATTACAATATCTTTCATTGTTGTTGTTGTTGTTTTTATTGAGGATACTGTGGTAGTTGTTGTTATTGTTGTGAATAAAAAAGGCAAAATAGATTGATTACGAAATCTGTCTGATTCTCCTGGAAATGAATTTATTTATATATAGAAAATTGATTTCTTTCGTTTTCTTATCACCTACCAATAATTTCACAAAGAATTGGTTGTCTACTATTAGGTAAAAGAGAAACAAGACATGCATCATCTGAATCACTCCATCGTTTTAATGCTTGAAAAGTTATATCTATTTCTTCATCTTGTTCCCATGCAGGCTCACCTTGAGATATAACGATTGTATTCCAATATTTTTTCTTTACACCACATTTGACTAGTACTTGTATATATTTTATCAGTCGTATTTGCCCAATGATAGATCCACGCTATATAATAATAAATACTGTGATCAATTAATTATTATATCAGTCTACTTTTATTTGAAGTTCTTCGCCCTTGACTACCGATAAATGCCATTGCACTAGATAATAATATACCATTACTATTATTAATTACTTCTATTTCCATTTGCTCATCTGTTAATATTTGATGAATAGTTTTTTGAATAAAATTAAATTCATTGAGATTATTTAATTCAAGTAATCGAGTCGGTTTATCAATATAACTAGACATTCGTCGACAGAATTTATCAGCATTTGACCAATTCATCTTTTCATTTTTTTCATAATAAATACAAAATACAACTAAATAAGAATTGATAAATAAAATATATTATTTTGAAATATAAATTCTTACAAAGATTTATCCAATTTGTCGGACATGGAATACAATGTTTATCATGTCCAGCCCAGAATTCATTCGAAGGACATAAACAATGATTAAAACGACATTGAAAACCTTTTGATGAACAAGTATTATCATTTATACAAGGTTCATTAAAACAATAAACAGCTATAATTAATCATATCATTATATTTTTATCAGCAGTATATCATACTTAATATGATCAGAAATAAATGGAAGATATGAAGATGATTGCACAAATAGAAGAAGAACATCTATTTTACATAGTAGTCTTCTTTTCAAGGCGCCTAATATTATTTAATACCTATGGTTTTTACTAGTAAATTATTTGTTAGTATTTATCGACTAATTGAATAGTTTTGATTTCAAATAATATTTTAGGAATTGAATTAGACTTATGGTTTGAGATAAATTCTATAAATGTCAAGCAGATTTTACAGTATTTGTAAAAGATCATATCTTTCTTTTACGTGAACAAATTGAATAAAATAAATAAATATCAAGGTATTAATAACGATTTTTTTTTCTTCAATTGTAATGTAACATTTTAATAATATTTATCATAAAACTACATCACCATTTTCAAACTATATAATTCTAATAAAACACTCTCTCGCCCATTACCTCCATATCTTTATAGTAATAATTCTGTTTATCAACTAGAACGTGAATATATTTTTCGAAACAATTGGATTTATATATCGTAGTCCTTTGACAAATGAATTAATTGCTTTTCATAATGTTTGTTCTCATCGAGCCGGCTCAATTGTACCAATAAATTCGAATAATTATAGTTAAAAGCAACATCACATTTTGATTATAAATTTTAAGGAGAAGAAAAAACATCAGTTAATACACTGTTATATGATTTATTAAATGATATGATGTCTTTTCTTCTTAATAAATATCTTCATTTGAACAGTCAATATCATTTAATTAATTGGAATTGGAAAACTTATGTTGAAAATTATCAAGAAGGATATCATATTCATGATGTACATCCAGAACTTAATAAAGCTATTCAATCAAAACAATATTTAGTTACAAATACAAAATAAAACATATTCAATTCATTATGCTCCTTCACGTAATACAGAAAATGATCAAGAAAATTTCTTTGGCTTTATACTTATCCTAATTTAGCAATTAATTTATATGAAAAAGGTTATAGTATTGAACATATTCTTCCAATTGA